GGCTCATGGCGGAGGCGGGGCGGGGACTCATGGCGGGCATGGGGGTGGGGATCGGGGTGGATGGGGCGGGGGCTCATGGCGGAGGCGGGGCGGGGACTCATGGCGGGCATGGGGGTGGGGATCGGGGTGGATGGGGCGGGCGTGGGGCAGGGACTCGGGGTGGGTATGGGTTCTGGCACGAAGGCGCTGGCAGCTCTGCCCAGGATGGCTGCCGCAGTCCCTCGCCGTGGCTCCGTCCCGTTCCCAGTCCCTGGAGGCCCCTCAGCCCCTCTCCGGGCGTGGGGCTCTGCCCCCCCATGGCGCCCCCCAGCCAATACTCGCTCCGGCAGACGGGCTGCTGGCCGCTCCACGTCCGGTCCCGCAGGCAGGTGCGCGACTCGGAGCCCGCCAGCCGGAAGCCGGCCTCACACAGGAAATGCGCCTCGTGCCCCACCGTCGCCTTCTTGCCCAGCTTCCTGCCATGGAGGGGCGCCGTCAGGGGGGGGGCAGCTGTCTGGGGGGGAAGGGGAACGGAGTTAGGAGGGAGCGAGGCCCCCCCCCCAGCTCAATCCCCATCAGTGCCCTTCAGCCAGGATCAGACACCCCAGAGGGCAGGGCCACAGGCCGACTCCTGCCCCTTCCCCAATAGATCCCACCCGCCCCGGGTCAGCAGAGCCCGTCCCCCGCTGCCGGCTGCACCGGGTAGATCTGGGCCCGCGGCGCTGGCCGACTGGCCCATGGAGAGGTGGGCAGGATCCAACCCAGTGATGGCTGTGGCTCACACGGCCCCTTTGGCCTCAGCCGCCCCTGGTCTGGAGAATTCTGTGTCCTACCTACACCCCACGGGCAGGACGTGCTCACTGCCCCGAGCCATCTAGCCACTCCAGGCCGGCCCAGGCCTCAGAGCAGGAGGTCGGGACGGAGCTGGCAGTGCAGTGGAGAGCCAGGGACACCCAGGCTCCAGGAGTGTGCTGGAGGCAACCTGCCCGGGGCAGCCCCACAGAGCCAATGCCTGCAGGACAGCGCCGGGCGCCGGGCACCGGGCTGCCAACTTTCTAATTGCACAAAACCGAACACCCTAGCCCCGCCCCTTCCCCGAAGCCTGCCCCCCACTCACTATATTCCCCCTCCCTCGGTGGCTCGCTGTTCCCCACCCTCACTCACTTTCACTGGGCTGGGGCAAAGGGTTGGGGTGCAGGAGGGGATGAGGGCTCTAAATGGGGGTGCGAGCTCTGGGGCTGAGGGGTTTGGGGTGCAGGAGGGGGGTCCAGGCTGGGGGGTGGGGCCGAGGGATTTGGAGTGTGGGAGGGGGCTGCGGGTTGAGGCAGAGGGTTGGGGTGCAGGAGGGGGTATGGGTTCTGGGCTGGGGGTGCCAGCTCTGGGGTGGTGCCAGGGATGAGGGGTTTGGGGGGGCTTAGGGCTGGGGGGGGGAGGCTCAGGTTTACCTCGGGCGGCTCCTGGTTAGTGGCACAGCGGGTCTAAGGCTCCCTGCCTGTCCCGGCACCGCGCTGTGCCTGGCAGTGGCCAGCAGGCCCGGCTCCTAGGTGGGGCGAGGGAAGGATAGGAGGCTCCGCATGCCGCTCTCGCCCGCAGGCACCACCACCCCCAGCACCCATTGGCTGTGGTTCCTGGACAATGGGAGTGGGTGTCCGGGCGGGGGCAGTGCGCAGAGCCTTCTGGCTCCTCCCGCCCAGCCTAGGAGCTGGACCTGCTGGCCGCTTCCGGGACGCAGTGCGATGCCAGGACCGGTAGGGACTAGCCTGCCTTAGCCCTGCAGCACGGCCAACTGGACTTTTAACGGCCCGGTCGGCAGCGCTGACTGGAGCCGCCAGGGTCCCTTTTCGCCCAGGCATTCCAGTCCAGAACTGGACGCCTGGCAACCCTAGCACCTAGCCCCGCCCAGCCCGAGGCGTTTGCACCAGCGTCGCGCAGCAACCGGTGCACCATAGTTTGCATTACCGTGGTGCCCGGTGGCCTGCTTGTGGATGTTTCTTTGCAGGACCGTGAGCTGCTTCTTGAGGCTGCGCATCCCCTGCAGCTGGGCGGCCTCCTGCGTGGACAGCAGCTTCTGCATCTGCTGAATGGCGCTCAGCACCTGGCGCTCGCTCAGGCAGTCCTGGGGGCAAACACACGTGTCACCCGGGGTCTGGCTGCACTGCAAGGCCAGAGTAGCAGAACTCGAGTCAGCAGGCCCTGGCGATACTAACCTAGGGCATGAACAGCTACACTCCTTTGTAGGAACTGTGGACCCCTGGGTCCCAACCTGGGGCTCTGCCTTACGTGGGCCCATGTCCAGCCACCCATCTCCCAGAATTCCTAGCGCCCATTCAAAAAATGGCCTCTCGGGCCCTTTGCTCATGGTGCTGTGTCAGGAAACGTGGCAGTCCACAGGTCACAGAGAGTCGGCCCATGGGATTGTGGGATATGTTTGGTGGCAAAGCAAGAGGGTGTGAACCTTGGGTCCCGGCTTGACTCAGATTTGGATCCTTCATCCTCGTGGGGTCCTGGGAGCCTGGGTCTGCGCCCTAGTTTAGCATGATGTGTGTGTGGACGGAAGAGGGGTAAAGCCTGAGTTTGAGCTCCAGGTTTACAGTGCAGTGTAGACGTACCCTTAAGGGCCAGTCCTGAGTGGAGTGCACAAAAAGCTCCCCGAAGGCTGTAGCTAAATGATGCTGAGTCCTGGGAGACGCCCCCTGGCAGCCAGGGCCCAGGCCCATCACCTCGTGCCCTGGAAACCCCATTTATTGGAGCAGGTTTCCTAGAGGCTGAACAGAACAAGAGTGGAAGGGAAAGGCAGGGACGCGGGGGCAGGATCCAGGCCCGTGACTGAGGCTTTCGGCAGGGCTGTCAGAACGCCCCGGCCCAGGCAGGCAGCCTGGAGATTCAGCTTCTGCCCTGGCACCACAGGGACGTGGGGCAGGATCGGGGGCACTGCAGAGGCCTCAGGGAATTTCCTGCCCTGATTTCAGCATCTCTTAACACCTCCTCATGCAGCAGCACTGAGTGCCGAGAGGCAGGCAGCGGGAGCAGGCCCTCAGGCCAGGCTGTACCTGAGAGTCCAGGGTGCAGAGACGCGGCTGTAGCTAAAGCGGAGCTGGAGTCTGCAGGCTGTGCTTTCTGCAGGGCGACTCCGGAGATCAGATACGTCAGCCAGTTAACTATTGCCCAGAGCCCACGCACGCGCTCCACGGCGCCCTGCATTCGAAGGCTGGGCTTGGCTGTCTGTTCCAAGAGCGGCCAGGCTCGCAGCAGGGCGGCTGGGAGCCCCTTTGGGGACGCTGCTGGTTGGTGCTCCTCATCACTCGCACAAAGCCCACACAGGGCTGCTCCGTCTGATTGTTCTCTCTTCCGCATCGGATTCAAGACACTTTACAACTGTGCTTCAGGCCACGTGCTCCAGGGATCCCCAGCTCTCCAGACCCACAGCCCAGCTCCACAGCAAGGTCCCTCCTCGGCGGCGGTCTGCAGCCTGCTCCCCTTTCCGCATACTGCAGCCACAGCCGCTCCGGCAGCCCATTCCCCAGGTGGGGGGAGGCGTGTGCGGACTGTAATGCAGGGGACAGGGTGTGTCCTAGGATTGCATTAGCCTTTTTCATGGCCGCATCATGTTGACGACTCACCTTGTCCCGTGTAAACCAATACAGCCAGGTCTTTCTCCTCCTCTGTCGCTTCCAACTGATCCGTCCCCAGCTTAAAGCAAAACTGCTTGTTTGTTGTGAGTCCCTGAGTGCATGACATTGTGTTTTGCACTATTCAATTTCATCCCATTTCTATTACTCCAGTTTGCAAGGTTCTCCAGATCTTCTTGTATGATACTCTGGTCCTCCTCTGTATTGGCAATACCTCCCAGCTTTGTGTCAGCCGCAATTTTTATTAGCACACTCCTGCTTTTTGTGCCAAGGTCGTTAATAAAAATGGTAAATAAGACTGGTCCCAAGACGGATCCCTGAGGAACTCCACTGGTAACCTCCCTCCAGCCTGACACTTCTCCCTTCAGTATGAACCGTTGTAGTCTGCTCTTTAACCAGTTCCCTTCCCACCCTTCAATTCTCAGATTAATCCGAGTTTAACTAATAATTTCCAGAGTGGAACTGTACCCAACGCTGTACTGAAATCCAGACAGACTAGATCAAGTGCATTTCCTTCGTCTAAAAACATCCCTTCTCTTCTCAAAGCAGAGCAGGTTGGTCTGGCATCATCTCCCTTTCATTGACCCGTGTTGTATTTTATTCCAACTACCTTTTGCATCTATGTTCTTAACTATTTGCACTTTTGAAATTGGTTCCAAGACCTTGCATACAATTGAGGTGTGCAAGGCCTGGAGTTTCCTGGATCACTTTTTCCCCTTTCTTTAAAAGCGAGGCTTTGTTAGGTCGGTCTCCTTACCTGGGTGCTGCTGAGCGCCAGGTGCAGGACACACAGGGCCACCAGGGCCTGCACCGCGAGGAGCCGCATCACGCGGGAGCTGGGCTGGGGCGAAGCGCCTGGGACACCCGGGGAGAGCGGAGGGCTGGTTCCTTCCTGGCAGTGGCTCGACCCGCTACACAGATGGGAACGAGGGAACACGCAGTAACGGGGATAACAGCTCGCGGGCCAGGGTCAGTCTGACCGGGCACCAACCCCTGGGCTTTCCCTCAGGTTTCCCTGTGGTTTGCAGTGTCACCTGCTACCCAACGTCCACCCATCATCCCCCTCCCGCTGCAGTCACCGCCCCCTCCATGGGGCTTCCCCACCAGAGGGGCCTTCAGAAATAACCCACTGGAGGCAGAAAAATCACAAGAACCCCCCAAATATGGCTCAGAATTCACCAACCAGCCAGTCCCTAATGGCATCCCCCCCGACAACTCCCCCTGCAATAGCATCCCCCCTGCACACACACACCCCCACATATGATGGCATCCCCCTGGCAACCCCCCTCCATGATGACATCCCCCTGACAAGCCCTCCCTGCGATGGCATCACCTAGCAATCCCCCCCCAGCAATGGCATTCCGCCAGGAACCCCCCCTTGCAATGGCATCCCCCCCGCATGATGGCATCCCCCTGACACCCCCCCCCTGCAATGGCATCCCCGCAGCAACCCTCCATGATGGCATCCCCCCAGCAAGTCCCCTCTTGCAATTGCATCCCCTGGCAATTCCCCCTGCAATGACATCCCCCGCGCAGCCCCCTCCCACGACGGCATCCCCTCAGCAACCGCCTCCCAGCGATGGCATCCCTCCGGCAAACACCCCCCCCCATGATAGGAACCCCCCCAGCAACCGCCCTCCGGCATTGCTCCCCTGCAATGGCATTGTCCTGGTGAACCAGGAGCGTGCCGAGAGGAGCTGTGGCCCTTTTGCTCCATGCTGCAGCCCCAGCCGCCAGGGCCCATGTGAGCCCTCAGGGCAGTTCTCGAGGACCGGGGCAGGCTGGCATATGGCAGAGATGCCAGCACCCAAATGCATGGGAACAGCCCTGCTCCTTAGAAGGAGCCAGCACGGGGAAGATCCCAGCCTCCCTCCCCCGCTAGCAGGCATGCCCACTGCATTGCTCCCCGGGCTCCAGCGAGGCCAGGAGCTACCCCCCACCTGGCCAGGGCCCCTGCAGGCCCCTGCACAAGGAGGCCTGTCTTCTCTCTCTCTCAGAGCCCTGCAGGAAGATGCTGCGCTCTGCTCCCCTCCCTTGTGTCTGGGGCCCCTGCAGCCCCTACTTTAGCCAGAGGGACAGGCAGACAGACCGAGCAAGCTGTGGCTGAGTCTCCGACCGGGACGGTCCAGCTCAGAGCCTCCTGCAGCCCCTGGGCAGAGAGCGCCTGCTGCAGCAGCGAGGCCTCTCCCTGGCACCGGGGACGGCCAGCCAGCGGGTGGAGCAGCAGAGGTTGTTTGTAAGATGC